AGCCGTTTAGCTCCGCAAGGCCCCACCACCGGCTCCCGCAGCCGCAGTCAGCTTTGCCGGCCAAAGAGGCGCCGAAGGAGGAGCCCAAGTGGAGATGGCGAGGCTGTCAACTAAACCTCCTCCTCCAAAAGTGGAAATGAAGCCAAAAAAGGCAGCGGATAAGGATCAATCTTTGAACAAAAGAAGTGCAAGCAAAAGGGAAAGGGAAGCAAAGGGAAAACAGGACGAAGTGGCTAACCGAGAAACTAAAGATTTACCCCCCGAAAACGGAGAAACTAAAAAGCGAGGAGAGTGTAACCTCTGACTGAAGCAGCAGAAAGGAAGCCACGTCTGATTAATCACACACCATGTCTTACCAGTCTCCTTTCTTGTACAATCCAGAGGAATATTTTTATCAACTGTTTTGTAAATGGAAGTTTTTTGTAACCCTGGAAACTTTTTTTTTTTTTTTTGGTACTGGGGATCGAACTCCGGACCTTGCACTTGCTAGGCAGGCGGCGGAACCACTGAGCTAAATTCCCGGCCCTGGAAACATTTTTTTAAAAGGAGGGACTCCCACCTCATCACATTTTTTTTTAAAGTGTAAATGATTTTTTTAGAGGTGAAATAATTGGCTGGTTGTTTATTGTTTGGCACAACCAGAAAACAATGGGATATTGAATTATGGGAGGCTTTGAGTGTCTTGGGTGTCAGCTTAACATTCCATAGGTGGGAGGTTAGTTCTCTATCCTACAATACAAAGCATACTACAAGGCAATTTGGAGTCACAGTCATGCATTTAATGTCTTGGATATTTTAAATGACCTATTCCCATGTTTATTTTAGTAGAATTGTTTCCTAAAGAACACCTTACTCCTGATCCTTGCCCTATCAGAATCGTGTGCACTCTGTAACATCTTTGGTCATGGTAGTTCAGTTTTCCTAATTTTGTTAATGTTCTGTGAAAGATCAAAAATGAGTGTGTATATGATATGAAAGTGTGAATCAGTGGCACTTAAGTAACACCTTATCTGTGTTTGAAAATACTGGTACTTGATAATCCTCTTAAGGGAAATTTGTCTCCAAACTTGAAACTGGAAAGTCACTGGAATAACTGAAAAAAGAAACAATACATGGCTTTTTAGATTTTCAGTGTGAGTGTTAAGACTTGTGTAAAAGTGAAATGTCTGTACTGATCCTCAACACAGTTGATAAAATCTCAAATTGGAAAAAAAAAGAGGATAAAAATGTTTTCACATAACAATAATTTTAATAACAATATGGTTATTAAAGATCATATTATATTATCACTAAATCTAACAATAGTCTAGCCCAGTTTGAGGATTATAATTATCTGGAAGTAATAAAGTATTAAAAATTATAATTCAGACATTTTTAGACAAACTTCTCCACTCTTCCACCCTACTTTGCCTTCTCACTCCCTCCAGGCATCCAAAATGATGGAATCTCTGTGAATAGGGCCAAGTACTGTGAATACTCAGTAAATATTAACTGGCTGACTAAATTAATTCATTTATAAGCCTCCAGTATAGTAATTTTGCTGTCTCTCAAATTTTAATTATTTCCTTTCCTTTTACTAACATGGACTCAACACACAGTTGTTTAATTAGGGCTATTAGGGCCTCCACAAATGCACAGTCTGGTAATGGTGCAAGACAATATGAGAGCAAGTGTTCTGGTGAGGGCTGCCGAAACAGGAAAAGACCATGTACCTTGACCTTGGCAGACCTAGGTTCAAAGGTCAGTGAAATGGGAGTAGTGCCACCTCATTCTGAAAGGCAATAATAACTGTAAACATTTTAGAAATTTGCAGACTTGCTGTGTACAGTGATCTCCCCAATCTTCCCTACTCTCTTACATAGGACAAAAGTAGGGTTTGTAGGGGAGGGCTGAACAATTTGCCCGGTCTGAGGTCTCACAGCTAGTCCTGGACTGTGCTGGAATTTGAATACAATCTTGACTCTTCTATGCAATGCCTTTTTTGTGTGTACGTTTTTTGTGTTTTTTTTGGTACCGGGGATCGAACTCGAGTCCTTGTGCTTGCGAGGCAGGTGCCAGAACCACTGAGCTAAATGCCTGGCCCATGCGTGTACATTCTTGAAGGTTAAACTCTTGTCAAGTTCCTCTCATACTAAGTGCTTAATATGTTTCCTCAACCCCTGGGCAGGGGAGAAGAACACTAGATTACAGGTATGAAAATGGGCTATGTTACTTTACCCCTGGAGAAGTAGAAGGTTACCTCCTGAAGTAATTTGGCCCAGGAAGAATGAAGGAATGGGAATTCTGCTTCCCTCCACCCCAGACAGTTCTTGGAAGCACTGATGGGGAGTAGAACCACAGACAAGTCAACCCTTATCCTCCTGGAAGGACTGAAGTTAAATGAGGAAGAGGTTCCTTCCTTCATCAGGATAGTTTTGATGCTTTTGTTTTCTCCAGTTGCAGCTTGATTTGACTTAATTTTACTTTCATATTAAATATTCCTTTCTTTGCTTTTGAAAAGTGTTATCCTTGCTTGAAAGAAATTTGTGTCTACCCAGGTTGGCTCCAAGAACAAGATCAAAAAAAAAAAAAAAGAACAAGATCAATGTGTTATGTACATGTACCAACTCTCTACAATGAATGTAATCTCTATGTACTACAAACATGTACTAGTTAAAACAAACAGTTCTTAAAAAAGAAGAAGATCAAAGTGTCCTTTGGATTAGGCATGGTGATGTAGCTGGAGAACTCAGGAAAGCCAAGGAACCTGGCAGAGAAGAGAGAGAGAAAGAGAAGGAGAAGGTGGAGGTGATCAGGAAACTGGATGACACCTGTCACCACAGAGGATTCCCTACTACCTCTTCCCAGCACGCTTTTTAAGTCTGACACAAAAGGCAGTCAGTGCTCCAGGGGATCAGAGACAGGAATATGCTCACACCCTAGAAAACACTGGGTGGAGGCAAAGTAGTGTATGAAAACATTCCCAAATGTTTGAGCCAAGATAACAAAAGTTAGATCTGAACAAGTTGCCTAACCTCCTTGAATACTCCCAAGTGTGATGGTGGTACTATACGGATCTCTAAGGGAAGCTGTTGACAACTGATGAAATCATGTGCAGAAAGGGCCTTGCAGAGTAGGTGACTCAAGCACCTGGGGAAGGACAAGACACTCAGGCTGCAGCCCCAATAAATGGGAGAATTTGGATGTTGCTATATCCTACCAAAAACTAGGTTGGGCTATTCTGACCGTCCAAAGAAAATGTGTGATGATGGTAACTCTAATAGCCGCTAAAGTTAGTCCATTTTGGGAAAATAAAAAGGAGTGCAAAAGAGTTGCATTATCAGAGAGAGTAAAAATGGAAAGGGAGATCTTTTAGAAGAAAAATAGCATACAGTATATCTAGGAAATAGTCTACAGTGCCTTAATAGAAGGCCTAAATTTAATCTTAAAAAAAAAAATTCAGTGCCTGTGTGAAAAAAAAAAAAGTCATCTTGTTTGCTGACTGTCAAAGGGAAGATGTTTATATTAGGAATAGAAAAGAACTTTTAAAATGATGGTAAAGGTAGGCCAGGGATTTAGCTCAGTGGTTCTGCTGCCTGCCTTGCAAGTGCAAGGTCCCGAGTTTGATCCCCAGTACCAAAAAAGAAAGATGATAAAGATAAGGTACAAAAAAAAAAGGAAATCCACACCTGATTCATAATTATTTTTTAACTGTGGTAAAATACACATAAAACTTACCATCTCGGGCCGGAGATTTAGCTCAGTGGTTTCGCCACCTGCTGCACAAGCTCAAGGACCCGAGTTCGATCCCCAGTACCAAAAAAACCCAAAAACTTACCATCTCAACCATTCAGTCACATTAAATTCATTCACATTGTTGTGGACCCTTCACCACCATTCATCTCTAGAACTCTTTATCTTGCAAAACTGAAATTCGGAACCCATTATGCAATAACTTGCCATTTGTCCCTCCCTCCAGTCCCTTTCTACTCTCTATAACTACTCTAAGCACTTCATATACGTAAAATCCTACAGCTTTTTGTTTTATTTTTGTGACTGGCTCAAGTCACTCAGCATAGTGGACTCTCAGTCTTTAAGTTAGATGTATTTCCAAGTTATTCACAGAGTGATTTATGAATATAGGTCACAGAAAATGTTTTAAGTAAAAATTCAGATGCTACCAGGCTGGCATGACCCAATACCAATATCCATATACAGTATAAGAAGAATGTTTCCCTAATTTCTCTCTCAGTGAGTCTGCTATTTGTGTGTAAGAAGGCTATTGTTTTTTGAGTGTTGACCTTATATCCAGCTACTCTACTGAATCTGTCAATTAAGTCTAGAAGTCTTTTGGCTGAGTTTTTTGGGTCTTCTATGTAAAGTATCATATCATCAGCAAATAATGACAGTTTAACTTCTTCCTTTCCTTCTTTATTCCTTTTCTTTCTTTCTCTTTTCTAATCGCTGTGGCTAATGTTTCAAGAATTATATTGAACAGGAGTGGTGATAGTGGGCATCCTTGTCTTGTTCCTGATTTTAGCATGAAAGTTTTCAGTTTTTGACCATTTAGTAAGATGTTGACTGTTGGTTTTTCATAGATAGCCTTAATCAGGTTGAGATAAAGACCTTCTATTCCAATGTTCTGTAGGGTTTTTATCATGAATGGGTGTTGGATTTTGTCAAATGCCTTTTCTGCATCTACTGAGATGATCATATGGTTTTTGTCCTTGACTCTGTTAATATAGTGCATTACATTTATTAATTTACAAATATTGAACCATCCTTACATCCCTACATCCCTGGGATAAATCTGACTTGGTCAGGGTGTATTATGATCTTCTTTTTTTTTTTTGGTACCAAGGATCGAACTCAGGACCTTGCGCTTGAGAGGCAGGTGCTGGAACCACTGAACTAAATCCCCGGCAATGTGTATGATCTTCTTGATGACCCTCTGTATTCTGATTGCCGGTATCTTGTTGAAGATTTTTGCATCTATGTTCATTAGGGAGATTGGCCTGTAGTTCTCTTTTTGGGTTGAGTCTTTCCTTGGTTTTGGAATCAAAGTAACACTTGCTTCCAGGAATGAAGCTTTTTCCACATCTGGAAGAGAGAGTGGGTATGGATGTAATGTCATCTCAACAAAACCCCAATGCAGCTTGTGGAGCGAGGGGCTTCTGCCCTGTTGTTGAATTATTTTGTGCTGCTGTAATATAAGAGTTCAGAGGGGAGTTGACTTTAGGGTTGGCCACATTCCCCATTATGTTTTCTGTAGGGCCCATCCCATATTATCCCTTCCCAGAGTGTTCAGAGTAGCTCATTAATACATAGGCAGGTGGCCAGTTAAACAATTCATGTTTACTGAGAATTTGCCACAGTCAATAAAGTGGACAGTTTTAAAAAAGAAATTGAAGTGAACAACACAGTCACCTCTCATTGTGTCTATTTTTGTCTTTCTCAGATATATTAGTCACTTTTCCATTGCCAGTACAAAATCCCTAACACAGATAACTTAAAGGAGAAAAAATTATTTTGGCTCACAATTTCAGAGATTTCAGTCCATGCAGGGTCCAAAGTAAAAACACCATGATGGTAGGGTATGGCAGCCAAGAAGCTGAGAACAGGGAAAGAGCCTGACAGGAGGGGACCAGGGACCAGATATAGTCTCCATGATCATACCCTCATGACCCACCCAGAAACGCCCAGAAGTATCCTTTACTAATCTCTGAGGCATCTCTCAAGCCAATCAAGTTGACAATCAAAATTAACTATCACACCCAATTATGAAGCAGCTACAGAATTTGGATGGGTTGATCCTTTAGCTCTCAGAATGAACTTTGATTGGCTTAAGTGAATCAGTAAGACCTGCCACCCTGACTGCAGTGATTGATTTGGGAACAGGACAGTGACATAATTCCAACTAATGAGACACAACCACTGGAAGTGAACCAAGAAGCTCAAAATCTCAGACATTCCACATTAAAGATATGGCATCTTAGTATGAAAGATGCTATGGACATTAGAATCCTGGGGCCAGGGATTTAGCTCAGTGGTTCTGCTGCCTGCCTCGCAAGCACAAGGTCCCAAGTTCAATCCCCAGTACCAAAAAAAAAAAAAAAAAAGAATCCTGGATGATATAATTCAGACTGTTGCTGATCCACTGATCCTGAGGCCAACCTTGATCTGTGTCTAGTTATCTGAGCCAACAGATGCCCTTAATTGTGTTGGAATTGAACCTTATGTTACATATAACTTAAATTATCCTAACTGATTGCTATCTACTGAATTATATTCCCCTAAAGTTCTTGAGGTCCTAATCTCCATGTGATAGTATTTGGAGAGCGGGTAGCTGCAGAGTAATTAGATTAAGATGAGGTCATGGGGGGAGGCCCTCATGATTGGAAAAAGAAAAGATACTAGAAAGTCTCTCTCCACCTTCTACAAGGATACTAGAAAGAAAGATACTAGAAAGTCTCTCTCTACCTTCTGTAAGGATACAGCAAGAAGATAACAGTCTACAGGCCAGGGAGAGAGTCCTCACTGGAATTTGACCATGCCATCCCTGGATCTCAGACTTCCAGTATCTGAAACTGAGAAAAAGTTAATTTTCATTGTTGAAGCCACCCATTCTATCATATTTTGTTATGGCAGCTAGAGCTAACTAACACTGGCACAGACATCTTGGGATACATACTCTAGCTGAGTGGTTCAACTGCAGTCCACCTTTATCCAATAAGGGTGACTGAGCCTGATCTATGACTCAGTCTCTCCCCAGTGCTCTCTAAATCATCCATGGGAAAGTCAGCTCCTCCCATAAGTGCAGTCCCAATGGCCCCTATGCCCCTGAAATGCTCTTACCAACAGGCTGCCTTAGGGTGCAGGGGAAATGGCAGCACACTTAAACAAATGAAGATGAAGAAAATAGAGGACAGGAAGAGAAAGATGACAGAAGAGGCGGGAGGTAGCATGGTGAAGAACAGCATCTCTTACCTATATCTACCAAAATAGCAGAGAACAATGAAAACATACCATCAGAAGGGCTGCAAGTGTAGCCAGAAAGCCCATTGCCATCAGCACCAATATCTTTGAAATATTGTATTTTATTGTAAAAAGTCATGAAATACACTTTCTGCTTTGTAAAGTGCCTTTATATTTTTATATCAAAATGTTTCTCAAAAATCTTTGAGAAGGGCTATTTTATTGAAAATATCTGAAATCATTTCCTGCCCTCACTCTGCCTGCCCTGAGATATTCACACATCAATATGAGAAGCGCAAGTACATCAGAAAGAGCACTGACTCAGTTTTTAACTCAGGTTCTTTTTCCCAGTTCCATCCTTCCTAGACAGGTGACCTTCAACTTTCAACATTCACTTCCCTTCTATAAGCCTCTCTTTCCTTGTAAGGAGGATAACATCTTTGCCTTTCTCATGGGGTATCAAGCTCCAAGGAGTGAGAGAAAGGACTTAGGGGAACCAGAAAATCCCAATCCTTTGGCCAGGTAGGGTGACATTAATATTTTCCCAAGATCAGTCTGGACATTGACTGAGCCCAGGTGAATCCATTCTTGTACTAATCTCCTAGTTATTCTGAATCCTTTTTATCCAACCTTTTTACCTGTGCCAAGAAGAGCAGTACAGGAGGCAGAAACAATACAGTCAGCTATCAATAAGGGGGTAGGAAAGAAGTCAGATTCCTATTCTCATATATCTCTACATCTCTTAGTTCCCCTCACTTCTATGTCTTCCAACTGCATTAAGTGACTTCAAACTTGCCTGTTCTGGGGAATCTGAGCCTGTCCCTTACGCTTGCCTCATGATCAAATCACCTAAGATGCAGGGCAGAGCAAGAATGAGAAGTGGTTTCACCTTCAGGACTCGATTCATTGGTTGCTTGGAGCACTATATTAAGAAGTAAAAACCACTCAAGGGGAATGAGTGGTTTAGAGACGTCTGCTTTGAGCATGGGAAGAGAGGACAGCAACACTTGTGCTACCACTGGCCATCCTTGTGTAGAGGCCTGTGATGAGTCAACTCTAAAAAATGCAACAATTATTGAAAGCTGGAAGGTTTTCAGAAAAATCTCAGATGTAAGTGTTTCTCTCCTTGGGATCTTAGGCCCCAGGGGCATTTATAAAGTCAGTTAAAAATGGCTTGTATCTTATTTTTGATATTATGAAAGCCTAGCTCCTTATCTGTGGTATGGTTGGCTAGGTTAACTACAAGTAGTGCCAATTTCTTTCCTTCTGGATAGAACTGTATCAACTCCATTCACAAACCCTGGGTGTATCATGTAATCACTATGATTTAAATTTGTTGAAATCACAGAAATTTCTGGAATGTTATTGCTTGACCTGAGTCCAACATGCCAGTTGAACCCATAAACTATTGTGGATGCAAGTACAGAATGATGACCTAAGATAAGAGATTGATTGCAGGGAACAACACTAGAAAAAAAAATCTTGGTAATTAAGAGGTTGGGAATCACTAGTCTAATGACATATGATGTCAATCTTAATGTACCCCTTCAAATATTACCCTGAATTTCTGGAAATTGTAGGGCTTTCGAATTGCGATGAATATGTCATGAATTTACTTCAAAATTCCTATCACTAATTCAGCATGAATTGCTTGAGACTTTCAAAATACCAAATAGCTTCTATTAAATAATTAAATGTCTTTTGCTGTAGAATTCTAAAGGCTTTATGCACAGCTGTGGAATTCTAAAGGGTAAGCTTTTAGAAATTTAGTTGCCACTTTGGTGTTCTCAGTGTGCTGGAAAGGCCCTGTCAGTGAAAGGCTCAGCTGGTGTTTAAAGGGCCCTATCTGTGTTTGTTTCATGTTGGTCATGTCCTAATGTGTCTCAGCATAAAGCTACACACAACCATAAAAGACTTAGTGATTAAATATTTTGATACCCCCCCTCAAAGAAGCAAGTATATCATGTACAGGTACAAATTCCCTATGATGAATGTTATAATTATGAATATCTAAAATGTACCAATAAATGTTTTCCTTAAAAAGTATATTTTTCCCCTTTGAAGTGGGAGGGCTAGAGGAAAGGATAGAAGGGAATGGGATTAATATGAGAAAATGGAAAAATAGGAACAATCTTTGTAAATAGGGAGGACTGGAGGGGTTGAAGGGAGGGCTGGGCAAGGGTGAAAAATAAGAACCAA